GCCATAATAGTATAAATTTATGATAGATAAATATAGATAATATATAGGTAAGACAATTATCTCCCGTGCATGGATATGTGGAGCTGCATCTCCGTTGCCCATCACTGTTTATTTGCAGTTAATCGCATGCACAATAAGCCGCAAACCACGCGCAAATGCACATTAAAGATGAGGTTATGCGTTTCAACTGAGCAAATATTCTTGCACGTGACTCCGTCATTGAATTGTTGGGGACAAAAATTGTCGTTTCGGCGTTCACTATGGCACATCGAATTTGTGATGCTTCCTGACAGCGCTGCGCCATTCAATGCCCTAAATCGTTGGGGCTTCACATCTAGTACTTTTCAAAAGAATTAACCAAAAGGCACTTTCCGTCAAACGGGAACCTTAGAGCCCATTCATATTCTCTCACACCACCGCCCCCTGTTTCCAACCCCTCAGAATATTGACGCACATCCACTCTACCCCGCGGCGATTTTTTCACCCCGAGGCCGCGCCAAAGGGCCCCTGCGCAATTGCCGGCCTTGCCACCTCCGGCGCCCTGCATTCAATGCCCCGGAATGTCCGCGTCATGCATCCGGCGCGGCCCGCCCCAACCCTACATATTTGGCGCCCGCGCATCCCCCGCCCAGTCCCAGCCCAGCATTCCAGAGACCGGTCCCCACACAACCGCCCGAGCCCGAGCGCCCGAGGTCCCGCAGCTCAATGGCGTCTGGCGCCTTTCGGCCTTCCGCCCCCTTGGGGCCCCTTATCAATGCCGTGGGTCAGAGCGCCAGACAGAGGAGCAGGAGCCGCGACGGCAAGGAGAGCGGGGCCGAGAAAGGAGGCGCCAAAAGTTTTTCCTCGAGCCTCCGGGGCAGGGCGAGAACCAAGGCCGGATCCGCGGAGGCGGTGAGGGGACTTTGCCCCCCGGGGCCTTATGGGCCGCCGCCGCTAACGTTGTGGCTAGCCAGTCAACGTTGTATTGGTGGGCGCCGCCGGCCCTTGAGAATGCGCCGTTCTGGTCCAGGCGGCCGCAGGGGAGGCCTGGCGCTTGTCCGAATTGAGTTTCAATTTTCTCCAGCTCGCTGGGTTCTGTTTGGTACCCTGGGCCCGACGAGGTACCTCGCCAAGGTTGGGTTGGGTCGTGTTTCTGGCGGCGGGTTGGGTTCAGTCCGAGGGCGGCTGTGCCTTTCGTGGCGCCCCGCGGGCCCGCGCTTCTACTTTTTGCGAAGGGAAGTTCTTCAGAGTTTCATTTCCGTGGCTTGGGCCTGGCGAAAATTGCTGCCGTCGCGCCTTTGGCGAAAATAGTTTCCGTCGCGTCGTCGTCGCGGAGGAGAGCGTCAGTGTTTCCGTAGTACAGGACTACTGGAAGGCCGAACGAGACGGGGCTCGCTTGTTTCCGTCGGCGAGGCTCTGGGCCTTTGCGGTGTGGAGCCGAATTTTTGCGTCGGTCAAGCTTGCGCGAAGGCGAAGGGAGAGAGGCTCCACGCCGCGGGTGTCGGGCCGCGGGTTGCCGCGCCTGCGTCGAATTGAGAAGCTGTCGTCCAGAAACGTGACAGTTACTGAAATCTGTCAAATTTCAGCCCGGCGGAAGCGGAATTTTGCCGGTGTCGGACTTGAAATTTTGAAGGGTGGCGTTTCTGTTGCCGCATTATGCATGCATGCAAGACCGCGGGGTCCAGTACGTGGTACATACAGTCAGTTGTAATTGCTGCCGTAGTTATTAATTGATGACGCTATTATGAGCGACAACAACCGGCGACCGTGTTTACAAGCAAGTTATTTCACATGCCGCCGCTTCATGAACGTCACCGTGAGACTTTAAAATAACTTTTGCGGGCAACATATTAATAGTACAACACACTACCTCCTCTACACAATGCACATAACGTTCTAACTAATTTCAATGCAGTATATGCAATGGCAAGTATTAATCAATGTGTGTAACCAATGACAACCTGATATCATTTGCCCATGAATGTTTAGTAACAATGCTCATAAATAGCAATCAAGTAATTTTTAGTATTATTATATCGTTCTCGGCAAGTGTCAAGATAACCTAGTTTCTGTTTGCCTGTATATAAAATACCTGCTCCTATCTATGTTCTTAGAATTTTATTTTTCTGCTCCCATTGATAAACGCATAATTTGGATGTTTTAATTCAAAACTCTATGTGAAAAAATACCTTCTCAACTGAACAATATGAGTACAGCTTTCACACAATGCAAGGAACACAAATCTGGAACAACAAAGGGTGATTCCACTACTCTGATAAATTTTTGCACTTCATTTTGTGGCATTTACTGCTCGGTCATAGCACTCTTATTCGCAGCATTTTTCGCATGCTGGCATTCACGTCATTACAGCTGTTAATGCACACCATCATTTTGGCCCTTCGCTGCCAGGCAACGATGCATACGGCCCCTTTTGCACCATTCGCAGCCTGCTGTGCGACAAAATATCGTATTCTTGTGCACTTGCAGCCCGCCCTCGTGCATTCTTGAGCTTCAAAACTGAGCTCACATATATATAAAGGATACGAATAACGAACACAAATGCACACGTGTCATACGCTAGAATGGGCATTTCCCCCCCGGCGGGGATGGGGTGCTTGGGGAAACTGGCAGTGAATGTCCCAGTACAGGCTATGGGTATATATACATGGGTATGTACTGGGTATTCGCGTGGAAAACTCAGGTCAAAAAGGCACGGTGCTTGCAGAACGCACACTTCCTTTATAAAATCTATCGTCATCTGCGTGTTCTGGAATAATGCACCATTTCTTTATTTTCCTGTTTCTAATCACATTTTGTGCGGGTGGCAGCGATGAAATGCTGTGGAACACGCGCATTTCACTCCTCCAATCAGTGAAGTTAATGTGGAATTTACATGTTGCCTACGGAATTTCCTCATTTATTAAAATCCATGCGGATTTCTGCGCTTGTTCAGGCGTCTCCCCTGAGACTGGCGAGCCCCAAAATAGAGGCGCTCGACTGGGAAACTGTGAAAGAGAACATCATTCCGACGGGCGGTGAAGAGTGTATGAGGGGGGAGATGCCCAGCCAGGTAGGGCCTCATTTGCCGCCCGCCCGCCACGCCAAATAGAATGCTGCAATCACTTCGTGTACGTCCGGAGTGCTGCCCACTCACTGTTGAAACATAGCATCAAAGCGCGGCTACGATCGCAATTGAGGCCATAACGTTATGCTACCATATATACGATGTATGTGCCCTTATAATAATGTGCTTAAATATGCTTATAATTACGTTTGCATCCGTCGCAATTGTTTCCAACGAATCATTCCAGCAAATGCACATTCGCGGCGCTGCATGCATGGCCGGGGGCATCTAGGGCAGCTCTGGGAGAAGTCGCCGGGCCCGGCCACCTGATCTGGAATGGAAATTGCCTGCCATGGCTCTGGCCTCAGCGAGGGTGGGGTCAAGTGGTCTCAACCGCAAACGGCCCCTGTGGCGGTGTGCCGCACCTGGGGGGTGCCGAGGTCCTTTGGCCATCAAGGGCTGCAATGCTGTTTTGAAAAAGGGAAACTGTTAGATTGCACATTCTTCTAATATGAGCTGATCAACAGTGGCGAATGCCCACGAGTCCATGGGCTCACGGGATCGACTTCGTCTATCATGTTCTAAATGCCGAACTGGGCGTGCATCACCGCACGCAGGGCAACTGTAGTGCCCCTCGAAGGTAACAGAGACTGCCAGCCAATGCTGATATGGCGCTATTGAGAGGGTGATGGAATCTGCGTTGAAACTGCGCAAAAATGTCCACAAAGATTCGTTTGGCAAGAGATTTCGCATTTTGTCTCGCGCTTGGGTGTTGTTATGTTCGGTGGCACAACCCTTGGTGATTACCGCAACTGGTAGCTGCTGCTGTGGCTATGTATTGGAAAGATGGTTAGTAATCGCCTTTCCCCAGAGGTAGGCAGACCACCTGATATTGCACTACCACGGCTCAGTGTACGTGCCCGCCGTGACCTCGATAGAGGACATCTTCGCTGGAGGGGTATTGCAGACGAGTCTGACACTGCGCTCTCTTTGTGCCGGCCCAACGCTGCGTTTGATGACGCCATTAATTCAAACAACTAGTCAGCCGACATCAGGAATGCCGCTATGCCAACCACAATGCTTGCGCTTCATTTTCCACCAGACTGTTTCTGCGGAGACCGAGGTCGAGAACGCAAACGCTATTCGCAAGTGGTTGGCGCCAGCTTCTGGCGCCCTGCGCACCATCTTCGGTGCTGTGGGTCAGAGTGCATCGCCGCGTCGGGACTCGACCATACTGCGCATTCGAAGGGGCAGCGGCGGCGGCAGCGGGAGTGGCAAAAAGACATTTGCGGGCGTCAGAGGAAGACCCAGTGCCCGATCGATGCCCGTGGTAAGTCCAGTTCTAGGACAGTGTGGATAGCATGGCGACTACGTAGTATTATATCCATTCATATGATCGCACATACGCCCAGGTATTAAATGATCGCGTGTTACACGTTTACGTCATCTGTTCGGTGCATGAGTCACTGACATTCTCCTGCAAGTATCCATTGCCGTCCAGATAAAACAACGTGGAAACTTACAAATGGGGCATGTGTTCTTGCAGCGCTATGACACCTGACATGATACCAAATCCACAAGTTTAGGCAATCCTGGATTTCTGTCACTTTTCCTATTGTTCATGGAATCATCTGCGGATTCATGGAAGATCTAAGTCCAGCCAGACAATTTACATGAAACATAAGTGCATCGAGCCACTGCCGCAAAGTCAATGATAAAAATGATGTTGTTTCAGGTCCTGCACGTCCTGCCCGCATGACCGTAGCACGGTTGGCTTGTGCAGCTGGAAGTGTCGTGCAGAAGCTCGATCTTCAAACCTTTTTGAACGAATGATCTGAACATCACGCGTGATCTCCATTGCACCACGGCCTTAGATTGGACTATCGTCCAAAGGCCTATTGATTGCGTCATTAATGGCCTTATCACTTGCATAATTTCTGTTGGCATCATTGACACGATGCATGCACGCAACTTGCCAACTAAAGGCACGCAACCAGGTCTGGGTCGCCACGCCAACATCAATGCCTGTACATCTTTTGACCACCAGGTGCCGTCCCCGGAGGCAGAGAGCGCCAAGCCGGTCGTCGGAGCGGACAGCCCCCAGTCTTTCTTCTCCTGTTCGGAGCACCTTGAAGAGGAGCCACTGTTCCAGCCGGACACGACCGGAAAGCCCATGGAGGACTGGGAGATCACTTCAGGCCTCGAGACTCCTCGAGGCAAGCAGAGGGTGCCAGTGCACAGGAGCATGCGGAAGGTGTGGGGCCTCTTCAACCCAAAAGAGACCCCCATCTTCAAGATCAAGCCCTTTGACAAGTGGGAGTTCGGGGAGGACGTCTCCAAGGTGAGCTGCGCGTCCCCCTCATGAGTGGTTTCCAAGTCACATATGTTACGAAAATCATTAAACATGAGTAACTGTCCAAATCATGTGCTACAGTAGTATTACAAACAAATTCTGAATGTTTGGCTGCCGGCCTTTGTAGACCAACCGGAAGCGCAGGGCTGAAAGTTCACCTGAGGAGGCGAGGGGTTCACGCAAGAGGGCACGAGCTGCAGCTAAAGTGAAACAGTGGCTGGACGCATATGTGAAGGTACCCACAGGTAAGGCTCCAATGGTCCACAGCTCCGAGTGCTTTTCGAATGCCATTAAACAGGCAATGCATCGAGACAGCACTGTAATTAATTACACGGTACTAGTATCCACCTCTCTGAGGCACCCAAGCCACGCTAATTTCCATGGCCCCAGTTTCCATCCCTTCGTTTGGGGTTTCCATACATCGATACCAATATGGGAAATCTCAGCATAACCATTTTGTTTAGTCCTGCATGTCCACACTGAATCGAATTACTGCTCCTTAAAGCCTGGGAACAGCAACACAGACAACAAAACAAAAAAACAAACGTTCCATATTTGACCTGTCAGCGCACCTAATAGAACAGTGTAAGCATCCATGGATTCTCGATGCCCTGTGGCCGATAAGACTTATGAGGAGGGGGACATTTGCCAACTGCGGTTGCTGGCAATTTTCAGCAATACAAGGCCGTCATTACAGATTATTACTGTGTTGTAAAACATATTGTACCTTGTGTGAATAATTCTTGGTCGAAAGACTGGCCATTGCTCCAGGAATTGTGCGGAAAATTTATTGGTTCGTGTTGTGCCTCACAGAATACGACTTCACCAACCCAAGGGTGGTGGAGGCGCACCACTGCACGCCGCGGGACCTGCTCCGCCATGGGCCTGACGTGCTGAAGGCGCGGAGCGACATGGCGAGAAACATGGTGGACATGCACGACTACCTCGCAAACGGCTGGGGGGGCTGGGGCATTGTCGGCGAGACGCTCGCCACCCCATGCTTGGGGATGCAGCTCCTGGACAGGTACCTGTCCACACAGGCCAGGGTGAGGGCTGCAAGGGTCCCGCAGCTGGGCTGGGCGGCCTACTGGATTGCCGCCAAGCACGACAATGGGGACGTGGGGGCGCTGGTCGCCGAGGAGCTGGAGCCCTTCGGCGTGGATCGCAAGCAGCTGGTGGTGGACGAGTGGGAGCTGCTGTCGAAGCTGGGAGGCGATTGCCCGGGGGACACGGCTGCCGGCTGGAGGCTCGATCTGCCCACCCCTATGACCTACTTTGAGGAATTCATGGCCGCAACGGGGAGCTCCACGCGCAGCAGCAGGGGCAGGAGGGCGCTGCACCTGCTGAAGGTGGCGCTCGTATGGGAGGGCATGCTGTCGTTCGCGCCATCGCTCATCGCCGCGGCCGCCGTCGACATGTCCGGAGAATGGGAGAGCGAGTGTGTGGACTTCCTACAGGCGGCGTCGGGCTACAGCAGCGAGGATCTGGCCGAGTGCAAGAAGTGCCTGGGCGTGCTCGACAGGCGCTTCTACGGGTGCGCTTGGGTCGCTTTTGCGCGCATTCAGAATTGTCTTGTGGATTGATCATGGGCGGTGGCCGTCAGAAATTCTCGGAATGCACTCGAGTGCGCGAAATTCAAGCGGACGCAGCCCACGAGTCATGTTCAAGGGAACTTGGTGCATGAAACGTTCCTCTGTTCTTGCAAGCGATGCAGCTGGGTGGCGATACACACTCTGCAACCGCCCATCTAATGTGACGAACTTTGTGAACTCCGCCAGATGATTCAACATTTTGCGCCACAACAAGAAGCATAAAACTACCGTTCAAATGGCAACGCCGAAAGCGCCGAAATTTTCCAAAACACGGTCACCTGAGGCATCGCCATCACGAGTGCAATGGTCACTGCAACCAAAATTTGCACGTTGTTGTTGGGATTCACACCTTGATGGCGACAGCTTTGTCGCCCCAAGCTACAAGGGGTTTACGGCTGACATCCAGCATGGCATAGGCAGATACCTAAGCGCAAGGTTGCAGCCAACAGACTATTAAGCAAGCTTTCAAATGTTCTTTCATGCTGTCCAGCATGAAAAAATACCCACACAACATAGAAGTAGAAATTCCAACTACCAGCAAAAGCCGTGAGCGAGAAAACAAGCAGGGCGAAACGATGTGCCCACTGGTGCAGAACCGATGTGCACAACCGTGGTGATTTTTTGACTCGATAAATACTGTTGACCAGCTGCCATATAATTCACACTCCGATTGTCTGCAGCAACAAGGGAAATCATTATCATAATAACTCATCATTTTTGTGTCTCTCGTCGGCAGGCCCAACAAAATATAAGAACTCATTGGTACCCCAAGGGGGGTGCTGATGGGCAGGGTGGGGTCGGGGGAGAAAGTCGCACAATACAGGGAAGCACATCAGGGACATGCAGTGGCAGCATGAGGACACAAGGATCATCGTAAGATACGCAACAAGGGTCTCCAGTGGCTGCGGAGGCCAGACCTGGTCCCGCACAAGCTCTTGGAGGGCCCCTGGTGAGAGCAGGGTGCCCTTCAAGCGTCTGCAGACACATGAGCACGACACGACCTCCAGTGGCAGGGGAGGCCCGACCCGGTCCGCACAAGCTTTTGGAGGACCCCTGGTGAGAGCAGGGTGCCCTCCAAGCGTCTGCAGACACATGAGCACGACACGGCCTCCAGTGGCAGGGGAGGCCCGACCCGGTCCCGCACAAGCTCTTGGAGGGCCCCTGGTGGGAGCAGGGTGCCCTCCAAGCGTCTGCAGACACAAAGAGCACGACACGGCTCCAGTGGCAGGTGGGGAGGCCCGACCAAGTCTCACGAGCGCCGGAGGCCCCCCTCGGTGGGAGAGCATAGGGTGCCCCTCCAAGGCAGACATGAGCACTCCACGGGCCTCCAGTGGCAGGGGGAGGCCCGACCCGGTCCTCCTCACAGCCTTGAGGACCCCTGGTGAGCAGTGGGTGCCTCCTCCAAGCGTCTGCAGACACATGAGCTACCCATCACGGCTCCCCTCCCAGTGGCAGGGGAGGCCCGACCCGGTCCCGCACAAGCTCTTGGAGGACCCCTGGTGGGAGCAGGGTGCCGCCCTCCAAGCGTCTGCAGACACATGAGCACGACACGGCCTCCAGTGGCAGGGGAGGCCCGACCCGGTCCTGCACGAGCTCTTGGAGGGCCCCTGGTGGCAGCAGGGTGCCCTCCAAGCGTCTGCAGACACAAGAGCACGACACGGCCTCCAGTGGCAGGGGAGGCCCGACCCGGTCCCGCACGAGCTCTTGGAGGGCCCCTGGTGGGAGCAGGGTGCCCTCCAAGCGTCTGCAGACACATGAGCACGACACGGCCTCCAGTGGCAGGGGAGGCCCGACCCGGTCCCGCACAAGCTCTTGGAGGACCCCTGGTGGGAGAAGCCTCCCAAAGCTGCCTGCAGGGCATCACATGAGCACGACATTTGCCTCCAGTGGCAGGGGAGTGTCTCGACCCGGTCCGCAGACACAAGCTCTTGGAGGACCCCTGGTGAGAGCAGGGTGCCCTCCAAGCGTCTGCAGACACATGAGCACGACACGGCCTCCAGTGGCAGGGGAGGCCCGACCCGGCCCGCACAAGCTCTTGGAGGACCCCTGGTGAGAGCAGGGTGCCCTCCAAGCGCTCCAGACACATGAGCATCACATTTTGCCTCCAGTGGCAGGTGAGGCCCTCGACCCGGTCCCGGCACAAGTTCTGAGTGGGCCCCTGGTGGGAGCAGGGTGCCTCCAAGCGTCTGCAGACAGGCCATGAGCACGACGGCCTCCAGTGCAGGGAGTACGTGCACCCTGCACGAGCTCTGAGGGCCCCTGGTGGCAGCAGGGTGCCTCCAAGCGCAGACGCAGCGGCCCACTGACGGCTCTCCAGTGGCAGGGGAGTGCCCCAACCGTCCTCAAGACGAGCTCTTGGAGGGCCCCTGGTGGGGAGCAGGGGTGCCCGGCCAAGTGCGCTCCTGTGCAGACAAGAGCACCTTAATGCCTCCTCCAGTGGCAGTGGGAGGCCCGGACCCTCGCGCCTGAGGGGCTCCCTGGTGGGAGCAGGGTGCCCCTCCAAGCGTCTGCAGACACATGAGCTACTCCAGACACGGCCTCCAGGTTCCACCTGGTCCCGCACAAGCTCTTGGAGGACCCCTGGTGAGAGCAGGGTGCCCTCCAAGCGTCTGCAGACACATGAGCACGACACGGCCTCCAGGAGGCCTCGACCTCAAGTCTCATTGGAAGCCTCCCAGTGGGTCTTGCAGCGTAAGTGCCCTCCAAGCGTCTGCAGACACAAGAGCACGACACGGCCTCCAGTGGCAGGGGAGGCCCGACCCGGTCCCGCACGAGCTCTTGGAGGGCCCCTGGTGGGAGCAGGGTGCCCTCCAAGCGTCTGCAGACACAAGAGCACGACACGGCCTCCAGTGGCAGGGGAGGCCCGACCGGTCCCGCACAAGCTCTTGGAGGACCCCTGGTGAGAGCAGGGTGCCCTCCAAGCGTCTGCAGACACATGAGCACGACACGGCCTCCAGTGGCAGTGGGGAGGCCCTCGGACCCCGTCTCAAGACAAGCTCTTGAGGACCCCCCGGTGCAGCAGGGTGCCTCCGGCGTCTGCAAGACACATGAGCACGACAATGCCTCCAGTGGCAGGGGAGGCCCGACCAAGTCCTCAAGACAAGCCTTGGGAGGACCCCTAAAGTGAGGGTGCCTCCAAGCGCTCCGCAGACATGGAGCAGCCCACGCCTCCGAGTGCCCACCGTCCCTGAGCTCGGAGTGGGCCCCTGGTGGCAGCAGGGTGCCTCCAAGCGTCTGCAGACACATGAGCACGACACGGCCTCCAGTGGCAGGGGAGGCCCGACCCGGTCCCGCACAAGCTCTTGGAGGGCCCCTGGTGAGAGCAGGGTGCCCTCCAAGCGTCTGCAGACACATGAGCACGACACGGCCTCCAGTGGCAGGGGAGGCCCGACCCGGTCCCGCACAAGCTCTTGGAGGGCCCCTGGTGAGAGCAGGGTGCCCTCCAAGCGTCTGCAGACACATGAGCACGACACGGCCTCCAGTGGCAGGGGAGGCCCGACCCGGTCCCGCACAAGCTCTTGGAGGGCCCCTGGTGAGAGCAGGGTGCCCTCCAAGCGTCTGCAGACACATGAGCACGACACGGCCTCCAGTGGCAGGGGAGGCCCGACCCGGTCCCGCACAAGCTCTTGGAGGGCCCCTGGTGAGAGCAGGGTGCCCTCCAAGCGTCTGCAGACACATGAGCACGACACGGCCTCCAGTGGCAGGGGAGGCCCGACCCGGTCCCGCACGAGCTCTTGGAGGGCCCCTGGTGGCAGCAGGGTGCCCTCCAAGCGTCTGCAGACACATGAGCACGACACGGCCTCCAGTGGCAGGGATGTCCTTGGAGAAATTCACAGATTCACATACGAGTTCGAAACAATCACGCATAGGGTCCTTGGCAGGTGGGAACTGTGGGCCAAGGAGACTGTGGTGCTGCTGCCATGCTGGGGATGTCATGTGTTCAGTGGTCCAGCTGGTGATGCAGTATGTGAGTGTCTTTGCTTTCATTTGCTTTGTGAGGGGGATAAAACTGGCCATTCATGTGTAAACATGCATCAAAATGGTACTTGTTATGGTGTTGCGGCCTCGATGTTGTGCGAAAGCCACAAACAGAGCATGAGGCCAGAAGTGCTACATACAGCCCCTCATGACCTTCACCGCAAGCAGTAACGCCTTGTGTGATGTATGAGCGTGTCATTTTGGCCCAAGGCACACCAAAAGGTGTTGAACACGCATACTGTACAATGCAGACCATCACAAGAACACATAAAGATACTCTTTTGCAGGGACAAACACAATTGTCAGCACTTTGATAACCAGCAACACTCAATGACCACTGAAGACACTAAAGAATTCCAAAACTGGGCGTTCAGGCAACTCTGGCTGTACAGCATCCGAAAGGCAGATTCCATTGTTTTAGTGGGGCATATCAAAAGACCAGAAGAACACCTAAAAATAGCATCTGACACCAACAATCCACTGTGTGGATGTTGGCAAAAGCCCACCAGCAACCTGGCACAGATGACTTCTCAATAGCCACAAGCCATCCAACGTGAGATCATGTCTGACGTAGGTTTAGCTCATAACAAGAGTTGGAATCTCTGAACCATCAATGGGAGTCACAGCAACTTTGAGATCAGATCCCTTAGAAGGGGGGGCAAGTTTCCACTGGCTGCCATCAAACTCTCATCAAGGACTGCCTGCACAACACACCAGAATCATGAATGATCAACAGGGGTTCCAACATGACCAGTCACAGCATGAGCACAGTATCTGTTAAATGCCTGCCCCATGCAGGGACCAAGTATTCTTTTAGTTTTTCTTGGAGACAGCTTTCCCAGCTATGGTGCAGTTGTGTGGACAGGTGTGCAGTAGTGCTCAGTCACCGGTTTGCTGCATGTCTCTCCCATAGTGCTTGTTGCAAAGCAGATCAGGCAGCACCAATCTTTCTTGCGCAAACTTGTTCCAGTGTATAACGTGTTCTCTGGTTATCTAACATGAGCAACAGCGCACAGCTCCAACAAATAGCATGTGCTATTATGGCTCCACCAGGCTGATGCAACTATGCAACAAAGATTTCTACTCAACTATCGTCGATTACTCAATCAGGATTATTGCATATCAGCACCATAACAGCCTTGTGTAGGTGTCATTAGAGCCAACCAAGCCATCAACACCCTCAAATACTCAGCCAAAGACTGCAAAACAGTCACAATTCCACATCCATGCAGCCCCAATGTACAATCCACTTGCGATATCAGTACTGGCAACTATAGATTTGTTGGCAAGCGTGGGTTGAATAACAAATCGACCACTGCCTTAATACATCAGATGAGTGGACAAAATGTGACTTTGCATGGTGAGTGCAGTTAATACCTATTATTTAACAAAGAAGCACATATTCCACCAAGTAATTGTGGCCTAAGCATTGCCCAATTTCAGCCATTACGGCTGTAGTTGAAACTACTGTGCACACGATTCTGTTCAATTTTCTTTTGCGCTTGATGTGACAGTCCTGGCCCTGCTCAGGTTACGAGAATCCAAGTTGTCCATGTTTATAGACTTACTTGCACAAGACCAAGACCGAACTTATTCGATGTTCACAATCCAGAACATCCAATTGGTAACCACAACACAAATCCTCTATCATATGTGGCGCCAAACCTCTGTGAATGTGTTTCAAAAGGAGGCAACAGGAAATACCACAAATACTTCAGGGCTCAATTGGGTGACATGGAGCACTAGAGTGCTATGTTGTCTCACGCCCATCAATTCTGCCCCTCTATCCAGTGTCGATACCTGTGGGGCGACATCCTTTGCAGGGCCATCATCCAGGCTCACGTCCTCCATCAGGTATTCCACATCGGACTGCTTGGACTGCAACAGAGGCCCTGCAAGGCCCACTGCTGCCAAAGCTGCATCGATCACAAAATCGGCCTTCCCCTCCTGGCCTCGACTTTTGATGAGGGAGCCCAGGCCAAACAACAGGAACAGAACCCATGTCAGGGTGCCCGCCATGGCGCCCGCCCCCTGGAGGGCCTCGAGCGGTGATCCCTTCTGACGGGACAGCTCCATGAGGCGCACAGGCTTGTCAGGAGCGATGTCGGCTGCCTGTTTGGCCACAGCGATGGCTCGTGAGATGCCGCCCACTGCATCGATCAGGCCCACATCTGCAGCTCGCCGACCCGACCATACGCGGCCCTGCAAAATAAACAGCAGAAAACAGCCATGACTAATAAACAGCTTAAGCCATTCAATATCAATGCTCTTCAAATTTCAAGCTGTCTGAGCTGGCAGCATGCAGGACGGCGCGGATGGGTAGCTGGAAATAGCCAGGCACATTGCACACTGACTGTGCGGTTGGGCTGCACAGGCAGTCTGCAGCCAGAGAGCTCAAAGGACGGGATGATCAGCACATAATTCTGTCAGTGCATGGCTCTCCACCCCAGCAAGCACTCAAAACTTGCCAAGATACGGAACTCACACAATTGATTTTGGCCCCCAAGCGATCAGGTCATGTAGCACTTGAAACCACACATACCCTGCCAAGAGAGGGCCACCACAAGCAAGACATTAGTCTCCCTCGTGGGGAAATGCATGCCAAAGGTCAAAGTCAGTCTATTGCGAGCCTCCAAAGTATACTACCAGCACGATCAGATGGCGACATTCAAACTGTTTTATTGGCAGGCACATCCGATGCAAATCTGAGTGTGACCTGTCCTACAGCAGCTGAATCAAGCTGTGTGCATAGCGCTGTGTCCGTGCAGGATGTACCTTCCTGGCACAAACTGATGGCATGCCAAGATTTGGAACCCACAACGTTGATTTTGGCCCCCAAGCGATCAGGTCATGTAGTACTTAAAAACGCACATACCCTGCCAAGAGAGGGCCATCACAAACTGATATACCAACCAAATCTGTGCAGGCAAGGATGCAAACAGATCCTATTGTGCATGGCACCACTGTGCATGGCACCATGAGCAATTAAGGGTATGGCCGTCAAATTCTTGCATACTAAGTTGGCTCACTGAAGAGCTCTGGGCTGGCAAGGCGTCTGTGCAAGCTGCAATGCCCTCAGCATGAATTGAACACACACCGAATTTGGGAACTGGCACTTCAACAGGAGTACAATAGAATTCAGGCCCAAGCGATCAGGTCATGTAGCACTTGAAAAGCACATATACTGCCAACAGAGGACTAGCACACAGAGAACAGTAAAGCACATAGCCTAGGGAAGCTTGCCAAGTATCCAGGTCAACATCATACACAATGTGTATGTATATATTCCCAGCAGGAATCCACAACATGCCAATACTTGAAAAACACATCATTCATAATCACTGACAAGTGATCATATCATGAGTTACTTGGCAGCACGCCCATACCATGCCAAGAGAGGGACACCACAACTAACAATGTGAGCTCAGCAAGGTAAAACAGGCAGCAAGACACGTGCAAACTTTCGAGCTGATGAAGCACAGCAGTCATTTGGCCATCTAATGCAGATAGTGTTAGTCAGGGACCCTGCAAGGTCTCTTTTCCTTGTGCACGTTTTGTCAGCAGATACCCATGCTCTTCTTTCAACTGACGATTCTGCTGAAAGTATAAGGGCACAGCAAGCTGCGCTCATTGGGAAACACTGCAGAGGTTCAATTTTGGGCGCTGTTATTGCCAAACCCTGGCATCATTGTTTCACAGCAGATGCATGAGCCAACACCTCACCTGTGCCAATTCCTGCATTTCTTCTGTCGCCATTCCACGGCACTCTGCAGCTTTGTTTCGGAACTCTGTGTAAGAGTGCTCAGCCAAACGGGTGAAGTACTCCTCTTCTTCTTTGGAGAACGATCTGCTCTCTGCTAGTATTTCTGCGTATCGGCCCTTCGACAGCATCTCCTTTCCCACCCTGCAGCCCACAACTCATTCCTCAGAACCTGTACTGCCACTGCTTGTAAAGCACCACCACTGCATGGAAAGAGCTGCATGGGCTATCATCCTGCACCTACCCTATCTTCTTGTACAGCTCCTGCAGGCTGAACTTGCCAAGGACGACACCTATAGACCCTGTGATCGTTAGCCCTTCTGCAACGATCTTGCTGGCGGCCATGGCAAGGTAATAGCCACCCGAAGCTGCCACATCCGACATTGATGCAATGACAGGCTTCTCCACTGCTGCTTTCTGGAGTTCCCGCCACATGATATCGCTGGCCAAGGCATCTCCTCCTGGGCTGTCAACCCGCAGCACAATGGCCTTGACAGCCTTGTTATCACGAGCTTGCTGAATCTCACGAATAGTCTGCTTCGTAGTAATAGAACCTGCTTGTGCCATTTGAGCACCTGCAAAGTCACAGTGGCACTCTCAACCGCGGCAGAACTTCAATGTTTTCATCTTCCACTCTTCTGACAGATAGTGTGGCGCACTCTTTTCCAAACATTGTGAGCTCCTTGTTGATGCTGGGCAGCTTGACCAAGGTCTAATATTCAATGCTCAGTATCAAAATGCGGCAGTGGCCAATGAGCCAAAGTGTAGGTTTTCATGTTGTCCACCGGGACATATTCACTTGCTTCTGTCTCCTGACTGGTGTTATTTGCATTGCCTGCCTATAAATGCATGCAGTGCCACAGCTACACTCCAACTGACACAGCCTCTTGTTCATTATCCCTGCTCCTTTTCTGCCCTTTATGAAGCATGCTTGCCAGTGATGGCCCGAAACTGCAGCAGGGAGCCAAAGGGTCGTATTTTGTCTGTCACCAACCAGGTCCATGTTTGACTTGATCTGTCATTTCAACAAATACTGATGCTCGCTCAAAAGATATTGGTGGCAGAGCCGCCGGTAGTTGAACATGGAAGAAACACAAGGCATGCAGCAGACTGCCCACCTGTTATGCTCCCAGAGGCACGAATTACTGCGATCACTTTACCGGCCCCCAGGCCAAAGGCAGAGGGCGACACTGATGCATAGCGCCTCAGTGTCACACGTTTCAATTTCTTTTTCTTGTCCACCTTTTGCCGCTCCTTCACCATGTCAATCAGTTCATCCATGTACTTCAAATCGGTAACCCAGCCTCCCTCTCTGAAACTCTCTGTGTCAACAAACCCCTCCTCCAGCATATCTATGACCTGTCAGTACAAGAGGGCATCACGAAACAAAACACATCAAAACAACAACAAAAACAAAACACATCCCAAGCACCAAACGTGAACGCCATGTACCAACCAATCACAAAGAAAGCTGACAAAGGCACAATAACTCCACCAAGGCAGCGATGTCCTTCCCAGCTACCAAACATGAAGACCATGTAATGCTGGTGAGGGCAGCTGCGCTTGACTAGCAACATTGAGCTCCAGAGGTCGCGCCCTTTGACCGAAGAGTCTGAAGGGCAATGACCATGGGCAACATTATGACAATGTGACCTCCAAATCCACATGCAACTTTCCTATTCTGTGCATAGCCCTATTTTCTGGGACAGTGTGTTCTGAATCAACAGGGTGAATCTGGAGGCTCAAACTCTTTGCGTCAGTAGCCAGGCTCACGATTTGCGCAGTTGCAGCTCAGCTATGGTCACCTAACCAATTGGACAATCGTTGACTACACACCGATCCTTACGATGCTATAAAATCATTAATTATCCTGTTAAGACACTGAACAATGACAGCAGTGTTGGACTTCATGGCAACCTCCATGACTGCTGACATTTTGTCAGCTCTGGAATGAGTTGCCCAGAACATGCAGCATGCTACCAGCAGTCACAGAGGCAATCGTTGGTAATGCTGCCGGACAGCCCAGCTCACCTCATTTTCTGCCTTGCTTCTTGACTTGGCCACACCAGCCACAAAGCCGCTGTAAAGGTCCTCAAGCAGTGCAGTGAGTTGTTCCCTTTGCGGCTCCGACATGTCTTCCCTCAGCAGCTGGTCCCCTGCCGACTTGTACTTGCCTATTCGTCTCACCTGTGGCTCGATGCCAATCTTGTTCAGAGTGCCCCTGAGGAAGGTGGCTGTTGCAGGTGATACAACCACACAACTCAGCATATGTGGCGACTGACCATACAATTGCTTCACCAAGCATGTGCTCAATATTGCATCTCCTTTCCATTGTGCTTGGTATTATGCAGATCCTTGTTACTTCGAATGAACGATCAAAACACGTGATAGGAGGGAACAGTCATCTGGATATGGCGACATATCAATTGTTCATCTTTTTGTTTGACACTGGTGGCTTGGCATTGAATTTGAGAGCAGTGTACCCTGCTCATCCTGCACGGTTCCCATGCTGAAGTAGGCCAGCAAAAACAGGGCCAGAAATGCCAGTGCCAGCAACACGACATCAACAGTACAAACGCGAACAGTCAAGACGCCGGTCACTCGTGTTCAGCCTGCCAGCAACACCAGGTCGGTGGTCAAAGCAACTGTGCATGGAAGAGCCCGCACAAATGCTCACAAACACACAAGATGTCCGCATTTTGCAGTATACCCATCGCACACAGGCAAAGATCAACTGCAGCACTAAATTCGAAGTCTGCAGGTGCGAGAATCAGAACAAATTGCACCTGGCCTACAAGGTAACACGCCCCGTGACAAACCCAAACGTCCATTTCATTGCTGTGGTGGTAGCTACAGCCCCACTCCCTTACCTGAAACTGACAAGCCCCTCAGGCCCAAAGAGCCAGAAGGCGGCAAATACACCTCCTCACAAGCTGACAGAAGAAAATATTCTTTCTCATTTCCTCGCTCCATGTACCCGATCGTAAACTTCCCTGACTGCCGAAAAAAATCAATGTGGCGTCGTATCTCTTCCACTTTCGCCCACCCACAGCTCAGCAAGCCGACCTTGATGAACAACCCTGCCACCCGGGGATCGTACGCTGCCTTGATCAGGCATTCACAAACAGCTGGCAGGGACGTGGCCCTTGAGAACATTCCCGGCAGAACTTCCTGGATGTCACCTTCCAGCTGGGGAAGAAGAATGCCACCAAACAGCTCAGTGCATCAGTTGTTTCACTACATAATATTTTCAGCACACAGTGGTTTGACTGGTCAGGAATAGTCAGTGGCCAAGTTACAAGACATCGCCTGGTTTTCAAAACAACCTCGTGTTTGCTGTGTTAACATTTCTGCACAGCACAGCGTACTGTTTTCGGCATGCCCCCCTCCTTCCTGTGGGCTGGTCTGCACTACAGTGTTCACATTATTCTGGCAGTTACAGGTGACAAACAGGCGAGTGCCAGAGGAGATACACCAGGATGAGGTGTAATTGCTGACATTCTGTTCGTGATGTTCACCTCATAGCAATGAGCATGTGTGTTGTGATATGGCAGAAAACATGGTGGTGACAAATGTGATAACCATGCTAGTGATTGGTTAGGCATTCATGATACAACTGAGTTTATTCTGTATGTCTCTTGAACAGTGACACCAGCAACTATTCAATGATTCCAGAATGGCCAGCCATTCGCCAATGGAGAATTTGATTGCCTACATGTGACAGTCACTGGCCATGCACATAGAGGGACCTGTGACATACAGGCTTCCAGCTGCATTGTATGCTCAGGCCCTGTGTTGCGATGGTAACTATGAATGGATGCCACATAGCTCATTTCCCTGTGGGACGTGAGAGTTTTCTCCAATTTGAGGTTTTTCTTGACTCCTTGTGCAAGGCGCCTTGTATACACAGCCTTGAGACAATCCCACAGCTCTACCAGCGCAATAAAGTCAGGCATATCATGGATGTCAGGGGCATGTCCAGTGCAGGGTGCATGCTGCACTACCACAGATGAAAATGTTGCATCTATTGCCTTGTCGCGAGGTATATCTGTTGTGCAGCATACTCGATAATACACATACAGAAAAGAGCCTCAACAATTCTTGCCAAGAAGGGGATTCCCCATTGCACAACTTTCCTTCATTTGAAAATAAATCACACAGTTTCATCATGCATAGGCAAGTTGGAGATGCAGCATCTGTAGGTGCCTGTCATTCCTTAAGACAACAAAGGGTGACAGATTACTGCTACTGCCCTACAATACATGCAAGCTGTGAGTGCCAATGAGACAGATCAAGAGACTTGGTAACATAATGTGAACAAGCCACTGTGGCATTCATATCGTTATTTACAGTCATGGTGCACTCCTGGCAACTGCCACACTGGATGCACAATTATGGGCTCATTCACAAGAACAAGGCACAACAGCTGTTGAGCACATACCTGCATAGTGAGGACAGATCCTTTTTTGAACCTTTTCCAGGGTAGTGCAAAGATAAGTTTGAAAGATGTGCACAGCTTTCCAAACTGGTCTGGCTCAGAGTAGATGAGGTCCCCCTCAGGCAGTGCATTCTCAACATCTCCAGATTCCACTCTCTCAACCTACAATTCAACAAACCGCAGATGATCCAACAAGCTTCCAAATGCTTAACTTGCTCAAGTCTCCCACATGTGCAGACCGCCACGCCTGCTGCTACTATGCCACTGCCATGTTTCATTGCATCATGGTGGTTTGGACACAGTTCCCAGTCAGGGAAGTCAGGGATTTCAATCAAAGAATTGACACATTGCATATCAAAGAGAGGGGTACCACATGACAAGCACAATCTGGGTCGTTGTTTGATGTCCTGTGGTCTTTGAGCCAGGGTGCTGTGCTGCCCTGGCACAAAGCAAGGAGATTCTGACAATGGCAATTGACTGTGATACTTGGAGTAGAGACCCCAGAGACAAACTTTGTGCTCCATTCAATGAAGCACACCGTTCCGCTTACCGCCAGCTGTGCAATGGTGTATCAAAGATAATTGA